TTTTTGCGGACCAGCAACTTTCCATTTGTCGGGTTACTGAAGTCGACACCTACAACTGACATACCAAATAGTTGTACGATTAACTTCCCGAACTTCGAAGGGCAGTATTTCACAGGGTTAGCTACACTGATTCCTTGCGATCTTGCTACGGCACGAAAATCGCAAGAACGCATAATCGCACCGGCCCGCCTGGTGTGTTCCAGCCTGGGTTTTTAACAGGGGAGTCTAGTCCTTTGTTACAAATAAAAACACTGCTGGCCAGAATCATTTCCAAAAACGCAACCAATAATGGGTTTGCGGAACAAACATTATGACCAGTTACTTATGATTAATACTTTTGAACAGCAAGATCTGGAAGAAGTGAAATTCTGCAAAATGCACCAGTCTAAAAAGAGACATCCAACAGACAGAATCGCCCTCTGGGAGAAAAACTGAACCAGTGGATTAGGCTGAAAATCATGATTGTGCTATTCCTTAGTACCACAATTTGTCCATTGCCAAACTCTACTCGCTGCAGTACAGTACAAGAAAGGCTAGCTCCTAAGCTCTCCTAAACCGTTAAAAAGATATAACAGTGTACAACGTTAAAAAAGTGTTGTGGTGAAATTTGCCTTTTGGAAAACTCGCAAAAAATTCCTTGTTTCACTTAGCCCTCCTATATTTCTCGCGTGTTTTTATGTCTTTTATAGCGACAGTAATGAGGCAAAAATTTCTGGAAGAGATGAAAAAGTAAGCTAAAAAAAGTGATTCCAGTTGGAGTAGCACTGAGGCACGGAAACATTTTAAGGCAGTTTCGCTTGGTCCAGGGCGCTGTTCTTGTAAAAGAGTAATGTGCACGGACCTGAAATTCACGAAACATGGACTGCTGTCACTGCTGCTGATATGACAAGAACGTTGCTGAGCAAAATCTTATCCACAGAGAACCGAGTGATAAAAATCGATGCACCGGCATTACAGTAATCGGATCCCTTGCAGTAGTATGCTTCTCCTGGAAGCAAAAAATTGCCTTCACACACCGAAGAATTTTTTATCAGAATTATCCAGGCTACCGATGTGGAGCTTGACAGCATGTAAATCCAGCTTGAAAGTTTTGTAAACTGCGAAAACTGCTGATTTTTTTTCACTATTAGCTGCAGTTGGCTATTACAGCGCGATATAGTTTACCAGGTTTATTTCTAGAAACGAACGCTGACCATCAGGTGATGCAACAGCTTTGCTTTGAACAACTGGCAAAGTTGCACAGCTTTGCATCATCTTTGCTTTCAGTACGTTAATTTTCAGGCCCACTCTTCTTTACTTGGTGCGCTAAGCAGCATTTGATTTTTTTGACGACTGCAGCTGTTAGAAGTATGAGAGTGTTAGCGAGTTAAATAATATACTGCAACTTATGCGTGCATCAATGTTTTTTGTGAGTTTAGGATGAAATAGCGAAAAATGACCACTTAAATGACCCGAAAGAACTGCATGACAGCACTGCATGTTGCCCAGCGCCAGAGTATCTGAAGCACTTGGCTGCATGGCCCCGTACTGATGCGCAGGATAATATAAGTGATTAATAAAACTAGACTGATGAAAGTGAATTGTGAGCTTGGGCAACATGATGATGGTACCTGTCACTTTCTCATTATGCACCCAATACAGTTGAACATCCAGTGTTTTGCGTTTCATACTTCCGTCTTCCTGGTCGTCATTCGTACAACCTTTCGTTATCAAATTATGCTCTGCAAAAAAAACCAGGCTAAAGTTGATTCTGGGTAGCTGCATACGCACCAAACCATCTTCAATGCCCATTGCCTTGCATCCAGACTCGTCTCTTATCAGAACAGCAATTTGGGAGCAGCTGGACTGGTTCCTGGTCCAAAAAACTGCACATTCTGAGGCAGATTTATTGTTGCGGGTGAGAAGTTTCCCAGGAAATTTTAGAGGTTAAAGATCAGCTGAAAGTAACAGTGCGTAAACTTTTCAGCGTTTATCCGTCATCGTGATGTAAGCAGGATGTAAAGGGATAAATTCAATAAACTTTAGCGAGGAACAGACATTTACTACCTCAACGAATGTAGGAAATGGGGGCCTTTCAGACAAAGCTGAGCTCCAGCTTTTTACCAGGGAAGCCCAGACGTGGACGCTGTGTCAAGATTTATACAAATCAGTGCAGTGAAACGTCTTAATTCCGGCTAAATCAAAAAAATTCTATAAGTAATAGAAATTGCCATAAGTGGCGAATGTAAGATTGGCCGAACCAATATACCTATCCTGCAGCTGTAAAGCGTGGAAATAGGACGGTTCACAAACTATCAAAATGCGAAGCTCCCAGTCACTATTATGTGCAGTTTGCTACTACTTGGCACTTACTTCGCGATGGTATTAGTTAAGCCGGTTTAGGCTAATAAATTACCTACCATCTAATGCCAAATAAATATTAAGTATTCAAATATTGACCAATTGGTGGGACTTTACCATTGTTGGAGTTAGTTCTACTCGCTATTCAAAGAATGGGGAGAACCAGTGCTTTATGGCATTCTTGGGGTATGCGAAATTCAGAAAAAGGAAGCCAAGTTAGAAGAAATATTATTGCTAACTTTTGTCAACAAGCTTGAAACATGCGCCTCTGCAACACACGGTGCCAGTTTCACAGTTATCCATATCTCGTCCCATACACGTGTAGCACGCATATGCTCCATCCCTTTGCGTGCAGTTCACTTTTTCCTCCACTGCATAGTTTATTCCTAAATTCACCCTTCGAAACCTTTGAGCATTTTGTTGCACAGATCAAAAATCACTACTTAGTTCTATCACCTGTTACTGTACTTGTAACCAAGAAACTGAGTTCAAGAAGAACAGTGAAAGTGTGAAATTATTTAAAAAATAATTGTATGATGTTTTCATTTATTTTTACTAAGTTGTGCTTTTAAAACTGACAGTTTAATATTTTTAGAACCTGTTACAATCTCCTGATTGCATCACCCAAGATAGATCGGAAAATCTTGGCATAGTGGTCTTATATTAATGGTGTTACTGGGTACACCCATTCAGGCCCGTAGCTTCTGTATACTAGACAAGAAATGTTGGGGTTTTAAAAGTTTTCTCCTTTAATTCAGATCCCAAAAGAGCCTGGTTTTGCTAATGAACTAAAAATTTTGTCGATTTTTCTTTACTAAATGATTCAAAATGAACGATTTGGGAAGAGTACTGCAACCTGTTCTTGTTTCAAGTTCTGATTCAGAGCAAGCTGATATTTGGAAGTAAAAAAAAAAAACACACACACACACATACCAACATATGAGAGGATAAAAATGCCGGTTGGATAGACGTCCAGCCGCATTCCTGAAATGAAAAATTTCCGCTCAACATTTTTATCAGTTCTTATCTTTGCGGTATTGTCAAGTGCTTTGTTAGGGATGAAGTGACGGTTCAGTGCCAGGTCTGAAAATAATTTTTTTGTTCTTTGAGACTGCTATGTAGAGATGTGCTACACATATGACAATGTAGGAAGAGCCTAGAACAACAGCTCCCGGCCTGTGAAGGCACATCAGTAATATTACTAATATGGGGTACCCTTACTAATTTGCCCGAGCTGCCTTGGTACTTTTGGCATAGGTGTTGTACAGGAATGAATAAATAGAAATGAGCTCGCTAAATTTTCTTTACAATTAATCAGGAAAACAAAACGTGTGAAAATCGAGCTACAGATCAGAAAGTCAAAAACAACGTGAAAATGGTTTCGATCCGGTAAGTATCGCTAGGCAATGACGGTATGAGCTCAGGAATGCTAAACATTGCATCAGTACACCGATAAAATCGATTAGCTGTTGGCTCATCGTATGACACATTTTTGCATCGTTAACCACTCGGTGGTTGCAGTGACCAAAACAGGACCTACTCGTATTTTGCCAGTAGCCCTGATATCTGTCCTCCTGCTTTCATTCTTCATTCACCGGGCGACGAGAAGTGTTTGATTTATCACATTTTTCGAACCGTTTTTTTTTTTTTTGCCCCCGAAGCTTCCCGACTGGTGGCCAAGGTCAGGCTGTGTATCTCTATGACGGCTTATTAAAGATAAAGTGAACTGGATAACGCTGATCGCATTGTTGAGGGTTGAGTACACTACTGCCCCGAATCCGAACTTGTATAAAATGATAAATGTGTAAATAAAGCAAAGATCGTGCTGGAAAAAAGGATGTGCAGTTGTGTGACGGCAAACTGCTAGACGAAAACAGCTTTGCTTTCGAGGATAAAAGCCGTAGCGCCAAGTTCCAGATTTCCGAAAATAAGAGCACTAATGCATTGCACTTGTGTCCCCATTGATATTCCGCTAACCGCGCAATGATTTCAATCGCAGCCGAACATCAAGCAACGACAACTGCCAAAATTTTTAGCTTTAAAGCAGACTAAAGATTACAGCTAAAAACTAGGTGGCTAGAACATCCCCGACGTAAGCAACATGCGTCCCATACAACTCGTTATGATGTAATCATATTTTTTTTTATATAAGAACGGAGGCACTACTGAATATTTGACCAACATGCACTTTCATGGTTTTTTTTAAAATAGACACACAAAAATATATCTGCACGACAGTTCAATTAATAATTCAAAATCTTCCTGCAACTTGACCATTACACTTGACCACTACACTCCTTGCTCAGTTTGGTTACCTAGTTTATTGGATACAAACAGTGTCTCAAACTAAACCTTCACTTGCGCTTACGCGAGATTTAGGCTTGCTTTAAACTGAGTTTGAGGTATTTCGGTCGCACACAGGCATAGATTATCATCGTAAAAATTTCAGCTTCCTAGCTTGACTGATTGACAAAAACATTTTACATTATAAACAATTTTCACGTGCCCGAACGCACAACACAGGTGTGCGCCAAAACACACGCACTCGCGTATGGAAGACAACTGTACCCGTAAAGATGTTCGAATCAACTTTGGTTCCCGATCTGACATTTTGCTAACAGTGTCTCTACTTCAATTTTGGCATATCAGTGCGTGTGACGTGAGCGTATATGATAAGTGAATTTGAAATCTTTAGCTCACAAAGAACATAACTGTGAAATTTTGTTTTCCTCTCTTGTCTGGTCTCCGAAATTGTTTTCCTGCTAAAAAATTTACATGGCTCCTTTTTCGTACCCGCACGTAAGACCCAAGCGTACGTGAACGATAATTTTAAACGGGAGGTGAGGATCACGCGCCGGATGCGCCATACTGCAGAAGTTTCAATTTCCTTGCTTCTCCGATTGCTGATTTGAAAGTGGGTGATAAAATGCGAACACAGGACACACACACACACACACACACACACACACACACACACACACACACAC